TTTGTACATTAACTACAAATGTTACTTTGAAAATAGCATAATTTACTGATGAAGTTATCAATTTTGCATGCATTCACAAAAACTCGCAAAATGATATTCAATATCAATTAATATGATTGCATGTATGTAAACGTATAGAATTATATGCAAAAGGCTAACATACGTCTGAAATAGAAATGTATATTTCTGAGCATAATTTTCATTGAAAGCTCAGCTCTGTTCACGATCCACTGTTAAGATTTCTCCTTCTTAGCTAGCTGTGGTGAAACGCACTCATCGCATTTTGTTAGCTTTTGACAGTTTACACGCCTGTCCGTTGTTGGACCTTCTCTATAAATATACGTTCTCTGGTGAAACAGCTAAAATTTTTTAAACGACATATCGAAACAATTGAATTCAGTTGTCGCTCGCGAAAAAGTGAATAAACATTAAAATGAATAAAAAATGGATATAAGTGTTGATCTATATTACATTGACGAAAATATTGGGGGCAAAATTGATGTGCTACGTATACGGAAAAGCCATCGTGATCGTTCAAATCCATTGGAGCTTCCAAATGCATAGTAAGCCATAGTTTTTTCACAATTCCAAATGCATAGTTAGCCATAGTTTTCTCACAATTGAGTGGCTTTTTAATAATATTTGTTGCAGATTCACAAGTTATTTTCGATAAATAAAGAAGCATTTTGTTTTTTACTGAATGAGATGAAGGAACATTACCACAAACGTGTGCGAGGAACGGCCATCCGTTCCTACGACAGTCGGGTCTACGAAAACCGGAACGGACCCGGATTTTTATCCGGTCAAGGACTGTCAACTCGACAGAATTCCTGCCGTTACAACAACAACAACAACAACAGGAACGGCCATACCTCCCATATTAAAATTATGCGCAACTCTGCGTTTCCTTGCTGACGGTGGTTATCAAAAATGCAGTGGAAATGATTTTAACATTGGGTTGGCGCAACCAACGATATCTTTAGTAATTAAAGATGTTCTAAAAAATAATTGAACAACGTATTTGTGCCCAATGGATTAAAATTCAAATGACTGAGAATGAGCTGGGCCACGCTCTCCTCCATTGGGCTCAGCGACGGTCCACCACCAGTCGCAAGGAAGTTATTCCTGTTGTTGGCAAGTTTTTTCTTTAAATTTGCTTATAGTGAATCCACACCTAATAAAAAAATTTTATTTTTAGTTAATATTTTTATTGTCATAGCCATAACTTACTCGTCCCCAATCGTAGGCAGTTCTGCTTGGCGGCCCTGAACAATTTCACTGCAGTGCCACACTCTCCCACAATTCTTTGGTTTTGAATTTATTGTTTCCAAATTGTGTCTTTCCTCTTCCGACTTCTGGAAACTTCTCCATTAACTCCACCAATTTTTCAAATTGCTTCTTTGTTGTAACTTTACTTTTTTCTAAAAATTTATAAAAAATATTAATTAAAATTAATTTAATATTAATTTAACATTAATTAAAATAGTTATTTTACCCGTTCTCCATTTTTCTTTAATATTTTTTTGTAGTTTACTGCACGATGGTGACGGTAGAACCATGGTTTGAAGAGCAATGGCAGCTAAGGGCCAGGAACTTTGTGCATGTTGTGTGAAACCTTGACTAAATCACGGCATTTAGATATTTTCAAACACTTACCCGAAACTGCAACGATATTGTATCCACCACGTAGTTTTTATCTGGTGCATAATAACGATCCTAGACACCCAGCGGGGGTCAAGGATTGGCTACTTGATATACTTTACCACACCCGGCCCAAAGTACGGATCTAAACCCGATAGAGCAGTTGTGCGTTCATATAAAAACTGAACTAAGAAAAAGACCTATGCATAACAGAAACTACCTGATTGCCATTCAGGACATTTGGTCTAATATTTCTGAAGTAACCAGAAATTTGGTAAATTCTATGAATAGAAGACTTCAGGCTGTTATTGATGCCAAAGGATGTCAAACAAAATGTTAAATGTATTAATTTTGTAAAAATGTTCTACTAAATGTTTCATTTGCTGTAAAAAATATCCCATTGAACCTTGCAAGTTGTGAGAAAATGTTCGGTTACACCCTCATTAAAACAAATGTTGTTAACAATCGAATGTATTTAACCGGCATTAATTCTTGTAATAAAATTATGAAATGTCCGGCTACATCATACATAGACCTTACTCGTACATTTTTAAACCTAACGACGCGTTTTTAGATATAGACATATTTTTCAAAATAAAATTAAACGAATACGGGTTAACTTAGTAACAAAGTTGCGTGTTTATAAATGTAACATAAGTAAATACTTCTTAACTTAATATGCATCACACAAGTTTCTCGCAGGCTTAAGTCCTCGTCGTTTCAAATCATTCACTACTGATTCAATTGGTGCTCCTCGGGCCAAATAAGTAGTTTTGGTAATCATTTTCCGAATTCTGTTATTTTGGTGGGAAGTAAGTTTTTTGCTGTCAAAGTTGTTTAAAATTGTTTCATCTACTACAGGAAAGGAATTTTTCGTAATAGGGGATTTATTATTATTTCTTTGGATTTTCTTAATTTGTTTTCTACGTTTTCTTTTTACGCTGCTCTTCTTATGTGCTTTTTCACTAAAGTCTTCCCATTTGATGTCTTCTTTTCGGCCTTCAACTATTTCCGTACGTCGAAAATTTTGATCTCGTTTCTTCAAAAACTGTCTGGCTTCTTCACTTTCCATGTTTGGATTGTTTAGTAATTTTGCCTCCTCTTGCTGTTTCTGAATTATTTCGTTCTTGAAGGTTGACCATGGGGTTGGTAATTGAGTTTTCACAACTGGCGTAAATTTTTGTATACCCCATTCTTTCTCCTTCTTGTTCAATTTACCCCGAGTATCAACTTTATTCCGGGACTCTCCAAACTGCTTGTCTTTCTTGGGAAATCCCGGCTTTTGCCTAAACGGATTACTTTCCATAGTCAAATGTTCTTCAACAAACGCGGATTGCAAAATAAATGTGTAAAAAGTTATCGATATTAAGCGAACCGATTAACGATTTTTTCATGAACCTGTTGGATATACATCTTAAAGCTCGTCCATAAGCAGAAACCTTTGTATATTAATGTTTTACTTTTTGGTAAATGTTCAGGAGAGCGGCTTTCCCGAAAACATGCACCAGTTTTCATGGGAACTATTTTAAAATACTCGGTTTTGGTAAATGTTCAGGAGAGCGGCTTTTCCTAAAACGTGCACCAATTTTCACGGGAAATGTCTTAAATTTCGTGTTTTTAATTCCAATTTACGAATATATATTGCGCGTTATCTATTTTTAGGTTTTTTTGCAATAAAAACAATAAAAAAAAAACTACGATTTTGCACGATATTTACACTATAAATGGCATCACTGTTTGAAATTCAATCGGGCACTAGTGATACAAGCAGTGATCGGTTTCGAAATATCGATACTCTCGATATTCGAGACTGAACGAGAGTTGATAAAAATGAGATACATAATAGGAAAATAATAATAATTGGAAAAATATAAAGAAATTAAAATATCGATATTCTCAATATTCGAGCCTGAAAGAGACTTGGCAAAAATGAGAAATACATAATAGAAAAATAATAATAATTGGAAAAATGAAAATAAATTAAAATACAGGGTGGCTGATGAATTTTGCTACATTAAGAAACTCACATAATTTTTTTTTCAGTGTATTAAATTCATTTTTCTTTTATTCATGTGAAAGCTCATTTAATTTTATTAAATATAGCTTAATTAGTTTTAAGAATAATGGCATTTAAATGACCCCCCCCTGCTCGTTGATACATGGGCGGCGTCTTATCAAAAAGTTGTTCGTTACTGCTTGGACAGTTGAGACATTAATAGCAACAATTGTTTCTCGAATGGATTGCTTTAGTTCATTAAAATTTGTTGGTTTTGCTTTGTAGACTTCCTGTTTGCAATAACCCCTCAAGAAAAAGTCAGGTGCAGTAAGGTCAGGCGACCTAGGTGGCCAACGGAATGTGGAGTTTCTGGATATCAGCTTATTAGGAATTTTCGTCTCAATTCTGTCATAACAGGTTTGGCTATGTGAGGAGCTGCACCATCTTGCTGAAACCACAAAGCATTTGAAGCATCTTCTGGCAAAATTCCAAGCCATTTGAATTTTATATGGGAATAAGTCCAAATCTTTGTGCATAATTGACTGTAATGACTGTCTGCTTACACCCATTTGAGCAGATAAGCTTCTTGTCGAAACACGTGGATTGTTTTGTATGGCAGCAGCTACAGCTACAACAGCTACTGAAGGGTTTCGATGGTAAGGTCTTCTGTTGACTGTCCCATTCTCGGCAAAATTTTTTACAAGTCTCTTTATGGTCCATCTGCACGGATGATTGCCGCCAAACGTGCGCCTATACCCTCTTTGAACCGAAACTACGGACTCCAGTGCGTGATAGCGGCGGACAATCCAAATTCTTGTTTCAGTGTCCCAGTTATCCATTTTTGTTAAATGTAAAAGTCAATCCTCAAAATAAAAAAATAAAAATTAACCAGATTCATTAAATTGGAAAAAAGTTATTTAATTTTTTTTTGGTAGCGGCTTTCATCAGCCACCCTGTATTGATATTCTCAATATTCGAGACTGATCGAGAATTGGTAAAAATGAGAAATATATAATAGGAAAATTTATTTATTTCATTATTATTGCAGAAAGAAGAAGAAGATGCACACAGAAAAATTATGAACACCGGGGTTTTGGACCGACCAGGGTTATTTATTTTCGAGCGCTCGAATTTTCCGTGAAAATTGGTGCACGTTCTCGGAAAAGCCGCTCTCCTGAACATTTACCAAATCGGGTAAGTCTTATAGCGCGATTCTGTAAGCAGTTTCTAGTCACTATTTGAGAAATTTTGAAGTAAAGTCTCAATTTGTGACTAGTTACTAAACAGTCTCCAGTGTTAGTCTCAAAATATTGTCTCAAATTTATCACCTGATAGTTAGCAGATCACAAAACTAAAAAGAGCTCTCGCCTGCTATTTTGAATATACTGAATAGAGATCAAAATAGATGTTAATCGATTATCGTTTTCTATATATTGTAAGCAACTCAAACACGAAAAGGTTAAAAATAAATAAATTTTCCATAAAATTCGTAAACATTATGACGCAAATATTTTTATTTTTATTGGTAATTATGATATTTGATTAAGTTAAAAAAAAATAATATTTTTTTGACGTATTTATTTATTTTTWTTTTATTTTATAAAAGCTTACATAATAATACAATTATTATACAAACTTAAGAAAATACGCAGCACTAGCATCATGGGCTATCGGCC